AGAAGAAGAAGAAGAAGAAGAAGAAGAAGAAATTAACGATATCAAGGTTTCACCCTTGTGAGTTTGAACACAGAAGATACAAACAATAGATGGCACAATGTATTGCCTGGCATACTTCGTTGCATTACTAGAGTAAAAAATAATCAAAATAAAGCACATAGATAAATCCCTTGAACCGAAACACAAAATCGATTAGATTCTTAAACTGTTTGTGTCACCAGGGTAAATGTAAGACGAGGAATGTCATTTTTTTCTGCATAACTCTAGACGAATTGATTTAAAGCGGTTGCTGCCACAAATCTCAGTAATCTTCGGTTGGCTAAAGCGTAACCAATTCGAAGTGCATCTTCCTTGATTTCCGTGTGCCCAGAGGTCAAAATATGGCATGCAATGTTTGATGGTAGCTTTTCTTCCTAATAGTCGCCCACCTGATTTAAAACAAAAAGACATGGTCTTCATCTTGTGTTTATCCTGGCGAAACAGTTTTTGAATATAGTCGATTTTGTGTTTCAGTTTGGAAATATATTTATTTGCTTTATTTTAATTAATTATTACTGTAGTATGCACCTGACGAGATACAGAAAATATGTCTGCCAGTAAATTGTGCAATCTATTGTTTGTGTCTTCTTTGTTCAAATATTTTATCAGAAATTAGGAAAAACTAGGATCAGACCAGAAGAGCAGCCACCCATGTCTCAAAATCCCCATGAAGAAAGATAAAGCAAACCAGAAGAGCAGACAACAGCTACTCAATAATTTGACGAAGAACGATTTATAGGACCCGAAAAGCAGGCAACAATGTCTCAAAATGTTGACGAAGAACGATCTATTAGACCGCAAAAGCAGGCAACGATGTCTCAAAATGTTGACGAAGAACAATCTATCAGATCCGAAAAGCAGGCAATGATGTCTCAAAATGTTGACGAAGAACGATCTATTAGATCCGAAAAGCAGGCAACGATGTCTCAAAATGTTGACGAAGAACGATCTATTAGACCCGAAAAGCAGGCAACGATGTCTCAAAATGTTGACGAAGAACGATCTATTAGATCCGAAAAGCAGGCAACGATGTCTCAAAATGTTGACGAAGAACGATCTATTAGACCCGAAAAGCAGGCAACAATGTCTCAAAATGTTGACGAAGAACGATCTATTAGACCCGAAAAGCAGGCAACGATGTCTCAATATGTTGACGAAAAACGCTCGATTAGACCCGAAAAGCAGGCAACGATGTCTCAAAATGTTGACGAAGAACGATCTATTAGACCCGAAAAGCAGGCAACGATGTCTCAAAATGTTGACGAAGAACGATCCAATAAGCCAGAAGAGCATGCTCCTGTGTCTCGGTATACTGATGAAGAAGGATATATCACAGGAGAAAAGCAGGTAATTATGTCTCAATATGCTGAACGATATATTAAAGAGCGAACAAAGGTGACAAACGATGTTAATGAAGAACTATACATCAAACGAGAAGTGCAGACAAAGATATCTGAAGATACAGATCCAGAAGGATATATCAGACTTGAAGAGCAGACACAGATTTCTAAAGATGTTGAGCAAGGACGACATCTCAAACTAGAAATGCAGACAACTATCTCGACATATGTTGATGGCGAACGAGATATAAAACTAGAAGAGCAGACAGATTGGAAAAAAGATGTTGATAAAGAACGACGTATCATCACAAAAGACCAGGTAACGATACCTCAAAAAGTTTATGCAGAACGAAATATCCAGCCGGAAAAACAGACAATTTTGTCTCAAGGTGTTGACGAAGAGCAATGCATAAGAAAACAGAAATCCTGGTTTCAAAATGTTGATGAAGAACAATATATAAAACCAGAAGAGCAGACAACCATGTCTCGAGATGTTGATGAAGAACGCTATAACAAACCAGAAGAGCAGTCAACCATGTCTCGAGATGTTGATAAAGAACGCTATATCAAACCAGAAGAGCAGACAACCATGTCTCGAGATGTTGATAAAGAACGCTATATCAAACCAGAAGAGCAGACAGCTACGTCTCGAGGTGTTGATGAAGAACAATATATCAAACCAAAAGAGGAGACAACCATGTCTCGGGTGTTGATAAAGAACGATATTTCAGACCAGAAGAGCAGACAACCATGTCTCGAGATGTTGATGAAAAACGCTATATCAAACCAGAAGAGCAGTCAACCATGTCTCGAGATGTTGATAAAGAACGCTATATCAAACCAGAAGAGGACACAACCATGTCTCGAGTTGTTGATGAAGAACGCTATATCAAACCAGAAGAGGACACAACCCTGTCTCGAGGTGTTGATGAAGAACGCTATATCAAACCAGAAGAGCAGACAATTATGTCTCGAGGTGTTGATGAAGAACAATATTTTAAACCAGAAGAGAAGACAACCATGTCTCGAGATGTTGATGAAGAACAATATATCAAACCAGAAGAGCAGACAACCATGTCTCGAGATGTTGATGAAGAACAATATATCAAACCAGAAGAGCAGACAACCATGTCTCGAGTTGTTGATAAAGAACGCTATATCAAACCAGGAGAGCAGACAACCATGTCTCGAGATGTTGATGAAGAACAATATATCAAACCAAAAGAGGAGACAACCATGTCTCGAGGTGTTGATAAAGAACGATGTTTCAGACCAGAAGAGCAGACAACCATGTCTCAAGATGCTTGTCAAGAACGATATATCAAACCAGAAGAGCAGGCAACTATATCTGAAGATGTTAACGAACAACAATATATTAAACCAGAAAAGCAAACAAAGAGGCCTCAATATGTTAATGAAGAAAGATATATAATACAAGAAAAGCATTCAACAATGTCTAAAGATGTTGATGAAGAACAATATATCAAACCCGAAGAACGCTCAACTATATCTCAAGATGTTGATGAAGAACAGTATATCAAAACCGAATCGCAGACTAAAATGTATGAAGATGTTGATGAAGAACAATATATCAAACGAAAAAAGCAGACAACCATGTCTCGAGATGTCGATGAAGAAATCTATATTAAAAAAGAAGACCAGACAACTATGTCTCGGTATGTTGATGAAGTAAAATATATCAAACCAGAAGAGCAGACAACCATGTCTCGAGATGTTGATGAAGTAAAATATATCAAACCAGAAGAGCAGACAACCATGTCTCGAGATGTCGATGAAGAAATCTATATTAAAAAAGAAGACCAGACAACTATGTCTCGGTATGTTGATGAAGTAAAATATATCAAACCAGAAGAGCAGACAACCATGTCTCGAGATGTTGATGAAGTAAAATATATCAAACCAGAAGAGCAGACAACCATGTCTCGAGATGTCGATGAAGAAATCTATATTAAAAAAGAAGACCAGACAACTATGTCTCGGTACGTTGATGAAGTAAAATATATCAAACCAGAAGAGCACACAACCATGTCTCAAGATGCTTGTCAAGAACGATACATCAAATCAGAAAAGCAGGCAACCATATCTGAAGATGTTAACGAACAACAATATATCAAACTAGAAAAGCAAACAAAGATGTTTCACTATGTTAACGTAGAAAGATATATAAAACCAGAAAAGCATTCAGCAATGTCTAAAGATGTTAATGAAGAACAATATATCAAACCCCAAGAACACATAATTACATCTCAAAATGTTGCTGAAGAACAATATATCAAATCCGAAAAACGCACAACTATATCTCAAGATGTTAATGAAGAACAGTATATCAAACCCGAAGAGCAGACTACTATGTATGAAGATGTTGATGAAGAACAGTATTTCAAACCCGAAGAACGCACAACTGTATCTCAAGATGTTAATAAAGAACAGTATATCAAACTCGAAGAGCAAACTACTATGTATGAAGATGTTGATGAAGAACAGTATATCAAACCCGAAGAACGCACAACTGTATCTCAAGATGTTGATGAAGAACAGTATATCAAACTTAAAGAACGCACAACTATGTATCAACATTTTGATGAAGAACAGTCTATCAAACCCGAAGAACGCACAACTGTATCTCAAGATGTTAATGAAGAACAGTATATCAAACCCGAAGAACGCACAACTGTATCTCAGTATGTTAATGAAGAGCAGTATATCAAATCCGAAGAACGCACAACTATATATCATCATTTTGATGAAGAACAGTATATCAAACCCGAAGAGCCGACTACTATGTATGAAGATGTTGATGAAGAACAGTATATCAAACCCGAAAAACGCACAACTGTATCTCAAGATGTTAATAAAGAACAGTATATCAAACCCGAAGAGCAGACTACTATGTATGAAGATGTTGATAAAGAACAGTATATCAAACCCGAAGAACACACAAGTGTATCTCAAGATGTTGATGAAGAACAGTGTATCAATCTTAAAGAACGCACAACTATATATCATCATTTTGATGAAGAACAGTTTATCAAACCCGAAGAACGCACAACTATATCTCAAGATGTTGAGGAAGAACAGTATGTCAAACCCGAAGAACGCACAACTGTATCTCAAGATGTTAATGAAGAACAGTATATCAAACCCGAAGAACGCACAACTGTATCTCAGTATGTTAATGAAGAGCAGTATATCAAACCCAAAGAACGCACAACTGTATCTCAAGATGTTGATGAAGAACAGTATATCAAACCCGAAGAACGGACAACATTATCTCAAGATGTTGATGAAGAACAGTATATCAAACCCGATGAGCAGACAACTATGTGTAAAGATGTTGATGAAGAACAATACATCAAACCCCAAGAGCATATAACTATGTATGAAGATGTTGATGAAGAACAGTATATCAAACCCGAAGAACGCACATTATCTCAAGATGTATCAGAGCAGGCTACTATGCCTCAATATGTTGACGAAGAACAATATATCAGAGAGCACACAACTATGTCAAATGATGTTGATGAAGAACTAGACATCAAACATGAAAAGCAAAGAGCTATATTTCAATATGCTTATCAAAAACGATATATCAAATCAAAAATGCCGACTACGATGTCAGAAGATGTTGACAAAGAACAAAGTATCAAAGAGCAACCACCGAAATCAATAGATGTTGATAACGAACGATTTATCAAGCCAGAAAACCACGCAACCATATCTCCAGGTGGGATTGAAATAAGATTTATCAAACCAGAAGAGAAAGCAACCGTGTCTCAAGTTAGGGATGAAGAAAAAGTTATGGAATCAGAAAAGCACGTAACAGTGTCTCAGGATACTGAAGGTTGGCTGAACGATTTCAAAAAGCTGTCTGTAAGTATAGTAGTTGTAAACTGTTTTTATCATAAAAAAAAAAAAATATCATCATGTCTCTTATGCATCTAATCATCTTTTCTCCCCACTCCTTCCTCTTTTCTTCCTCCTTCAAATCCTTTTCCTACTCCAACTTCGTATTATTCTTCTTCAGCTGGTGCACCATCTCCTACGCCATTCATCCTCTTTCTCATTCTTTTTCTGCTCCCGCTGCTGCTACTCCTCTTTCTTTCTTTCTTTCTTTCTTTCTTTCTTTCTTTCTTTCTTTCTTTCTTTCTTTCTTTCTTTCTTTCTTTCTTTCTTTCTTTCTTTCTTTCTTTCTTTCTTTCTTTCTTTCTTTCTTTCTTTCTTTCTTTCTTTCTTTCTTTCTTTCTTTCTTTCTTTCTTTCTTTCTTTCTTTCTTTCTTTCTTTCTTTCTTTCTTTCTTTCTTTCTTTCTTTCTTTCTTACTTTACTTCTTTCTACTCTACTTTCTTACTTTCTTACTTCTACTACTTACTACTTCTACTCTTTACTTCTTTCTTACTTACTACTACTACTACTACTACTACTACTACTACTACTACTACTACTACTACTACTACTACTACTACTACTATTACTACTACTACTACTACTACTACTACTACTACTACTACTACTACTACTGCTGCTGCTGCTGCTGCTACTACTACTACTACTACTTCTACTACTACTACTACTACTACTACTACTACTACTACTACTACTACTACTACTATTACTACTACTACTACTACTAGTACTACTACTACTACTACTACTACTACTACTACAATTATTACTACCACTACTACTGATGCTGCTACTACTACTACTACTACTACTACTACTACTACTACTACTATTATTATTACTACCACTACTACTGCTGCTGCTGCTACTACTACTACTACTACTACTACTACTACTACTACTTCTACTACTACTACTACTACTACTACTACTACCACTACTACTACTACTACTACTACTACTACTACTACTACTACTACTACTACTACTACCATCACTACCACTGTCAATACCACTATCACTAAGGCTACTACTACTTCAATATCACCACAACTATTACCACAACCACTACAACAACTACTAATACTACTACTACTGCTACTACTACTACTGCTGCTGCTACTAGTAGTACCACTACTGTTGCTACTGTCGCTGCTTCTGCTACCACAACCACAGCTGCTACTACTACTACTATGACAACAACAACTACTGCTACTACTGCTGCTGCTGTGACTGCTGCTATTACTACTAGTATTGTTGCTGCTGCTGCTGCTACTACTACTAAAAGTATTATTCCTGTAATGAATATTACTCTTGCTGCTACTGCCGTCATTTAACCACTCATTTTTTTTATTAGTCGAACATACCTGCATCCAACATACACAGGGACCAAATAAACATCCTACTTTGTGGGCCACCTCAACATGGCAAAAGTTCAACTGGAAACTCCATCCTGGGCTCTACAGAGTTCGCAGTTTCCCAAGAGACCACATCCTTTGAATTAAAATCTACTGTGTACGAACATTACAAAGTGAAAGTAGTTGACTGTCCTCCCACACCAAGAGAAGAACCGCGTCATCTGAAGCTGGTCTTACAATCGTACGCGTCAATGATGAAACACTTATTGACACTGTGCCCTAAAGGATTCCATGCTGTAGTAATTGTGTTACAATACAGAAGTGTTTTTTCAGAAGACCAAGATTCTCTAATGTTCATGCTGAAGGAGATGTATGGAGACAAGTTCGTCCAGGATCACTGCATCTGCGTGATCAGTCACGGGGATTTGTTTGAAAAAGCGATGGAGAGAAGAAGACATCAAGGAAATGCTCTGGACTTCAATAGCTGGTGTAAACAGAACCGTGGTCCAGTCCTAAATGACATATTTGGAGCCTGTCAGAACAGGTGTGTTCTCTTCGATAACGTTACCAATGACGTAAATATCAAGAGGGCACAAATGTATCAGCTGATGTCCATGATCCTTGGCTCTTGGCATAACACCTCCTTAGTGCCTCTGGTATCTGTCAGTAAGTTTTTTTTTTCATGTGCTAATAATAATGCGTGAGTTAGTATTACAGTTGCCTATAAGCCAACTTTTATGGCTGAGTAGCGATTAAAGGAAGACAGCAAAAGTCGCAGCAAAGAAATGCCCAGGTTGGAAAGTTGTTTTTTTTCCTTAAAAAAAAAATTTAAAAAATTAAACCCACCACCACTTACTGAGGATTCGATCCCGTGCTCGTCCCACATGACGGCCTAGCGCTCTTACTACATGGGCAGTCGCTCCTCACCTCTATTATAACTCTAATAGAATATATTCAATATTATTATGGATATCTAAAGTATACTGATATAGAGTACATTGCACATTAGAATCTGGGAGAACATGACTGCAAATCACAATCATTTACTGACACTCATAGAAGTTAATGGAGAGAATTAGAAATAAAGGTACACATTCAATAGCATATAAACTGAAAGACATATATACACGCAAACCACTCTAGCGTTTCGAGCAGGGAGGGATAATTGCAAAAAGTATGTCTGGGCGCTGAGCTTCCTTTAAATATTTTAGGCGTGGGAGTGGGTGTCCTCCTTAACAGGCCTTTGTCTGGTTTAATTCGCAGTAATAAAAATAATTGTAATAATAATACTAATAATATTATTAATAACAATGTGCTGAATGGTGAAATAAGAATATTATATTTAGATAATGAAATGTCTACGCACATATGTTTAAGCAGAAAACGTCCATACATAGCGTGTGTGTGTGTGTGTGTGTGTGTGTTAGGTGGGGGCGGGGGGGGGGGGGGGGGGGGGGGTTAGAATTAACCATTTCCTGCGCACTGTCTAGAAAGGAGGGAGCTCTGTCTACCCCTGAAAAATTACTGGAGTGGGTTGTGGTGGTAGGGATGGGGAAAAGGGGGCTATCGAGCCTGAACCTCCCACGTGATGACACAGACATGCTACACCGACCCTCTCTGCACGTTTGGCTCAAGTCAAACATGAAAGAATTAGCAGCTATTGAATGAATACAGCTTTTATATTCTGGCTAAGTAACTAAAGATTATTTACTACACATGTTTGTGTAAACAGTGCATCCTACACACACACACACACTCACACACACACACATATACATACATACATATGAAGCATTGCACAGAGACACGCACATAAATGTATATATAAACAGTGAATACCACACACATACACACACATACATACATATGAAACATTGCACAGAGACACGCACATATATGTATATATATAAACAGTGAATACCACACACACACACACACACACACACACACACACACACATACATACATACATATGAAGCATTGCACAGAGACACGCACATATATGTATATATAAACAGTGAATACCACACACATACACACACATACATACATATGAAACATTGCACAGAGACACGCACATATATGTATATATAAACAGTGAATACCACACACACACACACACACACACACACACACATACATACATACATATGAAACATTGCACAGAGACACGCACATATATGTATATATAAACAGTGGATACCACATATACACACACACCCACGCATATATATATATATATATATATATATATATATATATATATATATATATATAGATATATATATATATATATTTATATGTGTGTGTGTGTGTATGTATATATGTATGAATCGATGCATGCTACACACACATATATATGAAACAGTGGAAGACACACGAACACACCTACGCATATACATACATACATACATACATACATACATACATACATACATACATACATACATACATACATACATACATACATACATACATACATACATACATACATACATAAATACATACATACATACATACATACATACATACATACATACATACATACATACATACACACACACACACACACACACACACACACACACACACACATACATACATACATACATACATACATACATACATACATACATACATACATACATACATACATACATACATACATACATACATACATACATACATACATACATACATACATACATACATACATACATACATACATACATACATACATACATACATACATACATACATACATACATACATACTTACATACATACATACATACATACATACATACATATACATACATACATACATACATACATACATACATACATACATACATACATACATACATACATACATACATACATACATACATACATACATACATACATACATACATACATACATACATACATACATACATACATACATACATACATACATACATACATACATACATACATACATACATACATACATACATACATACATACATACATACATACATACATACATACATACATACATTACATACATACATACATACATACATACATACATACATACATATACATACATACATACATACATACATACATACATACATACATACAGACATACATACATACATACATACATACATACATACATACATACATACATACATACATACATACATACATACATACATACATACATACATACATACATACATACATACATACATACATACATACATACATACATACATACATACATACATACATACATACATACATACATACATACATACATACATACATACATACATACATACATACATACATACATACATACATACATACATACATACATACATACATACATACATACATACATACATACATACATACATACATACATACATACATACATACATACATACATACATACATACATACATACATACATACATACATACATACATACATACATACATACATACATACATACATACATACATACATACATACATACATACATACATACATACATACATACATACATACATACATACATACATACATACATACATACATACATACATACATACATACATACATACATACATACATACATACATACATACATACATACATACATACATACATACATATTTTTCCCATATGCCCAATGCGCCTAAGGGCGTGTAAAGGAATCTTTATTTTACTTTATTTATTATGTAATTAATGTATCACGTGTTGGCTTCTAGATCCAAACCTGCGCATCAAAGCAGACATACATTTTCTGATCGAAACGGCGCCAAGGTATGATGAGTACCAGAATCAGCTGAAGTTCGCTGTAAATTATGCTTCCAATTACCAGATGAGCCCAGACACCGCCCGTACTTGTGTGATGATTTTTGGGCAAGAGCATCACATGCGGCTGGATTTTTCAATGTTAAACACACATGAACAGCTGGCACAGGTAAAACATTTGACATGCTTTGTATATGCTTTAGTCATTTAATGAATATATCTTAAATCTATTGGTAGTGGCATATTGCTCGCTGGGGGATTGTGAACGACTCATTTCATTGCACAGCGAAAACATTCATACGTACTCCAGAATTATCCCATAGAGCACACAGCTTTTACCACACACACACACACACAAACACACACACCACACACACCCACACAAAATCAAACAATGGGTAAATAACCACCATGTAGGGTATAGCGCATTACCCCTCCCTCCCCCGAAGGATCCTTGAAGCCTGAAGACGAAAGTATGAAATCGAGTGATACTGCCGCTCAGATACAAGGAATAGACACATGCTTCTTTACTCCTTAAAGGAACACATCAAGACTGTGCATAATGTAGCACTTCGCTATGGGTAGCAACCTATCTGTCGCTCATAAAGGCGAGGGAGAACATCTGTAGACGAAATTATTGGTAGCATACGAGACAGAATGCCGTGGATCCACAGAATTATGAATGTCACACGGCTTGGATTATAGAAAGACGTTTTCATCGTACTTACTTACTTAGTCGCTCCTCTTCTGTATTGGGGTGTAGAGGTTTGCTAGAGAGATCGCCAGACTTCTTTATAATCAGTTTTAATTTAAGCTTTGTTCCATTTCAATCCTATGTCAATCAGAGTGTGTCGGATATTTGTCGAACCTTTGATCGCCTAGGTGGTCTCGTTCCACGGTTTTTGGTCTTCCATTGATTCTCTCTGCTGCATACATGTCAAAACTATCGTAACTGTGACTGACCCACTCGAGTTAGTGAGGTTTGACTCTCAAAATCCGGACGTATTGTCTAGTTGCGAGCTTTGTCCTGTATTGTCACTTAGACTACCTTTCTCAAATATCTAATTTCTGAGGCCTGAAGCTGGCTTCTGTGAGATGTGTGCACAAAGCTTTTAGTTAACAAATTTGACTTTGAACAGCATTTTGAGCATTTTGGTTAGAAGGGGGTGGGGGTGGAAAAGCGGGGGGGGGGGGGGGGGGCGGCACGTTCCATTCCAAAGTATCTGGCTGTCCCCAGTCGACATTTATATCATCGGACAGCTTATATCTCTTCAAGTAGAACCCCGCATGCAGAAATACCACTTACTCCTATGTTAAGTTTTCATTAAGGTCTCCGAAACACCCCTTGTTAAATTAGCGGTGAAGGACACAGACAAAGGCAACTGGGGAAATGAAAGAAATGAGACATGTGCATTTCATGAAAGAATGTTCTAGGTATGCAGAGCAGAGAAAAACATTTGGACCCAGCCAACCATCGTTTGAGGGCATGATCTATTACAGAGATATCAAACAGCTTAGACTGACTGCTGTTACCCTTTAAAGCATTCTGATTAACCTCGTACGGTGTACGGAGAAGAAGAAGAAGAAGAAGAAGAAGAAGAAGAAGAAGAAGAAGAAGAAGAAGAAGAAGAAGAAAAGAAGAAGAAGAAGAAGAAGAAGAAGAAGAAGAAGAAGAAGAAGAAGAAGAAGAAGAAGAAGAAAAGAAGAAGAAGAAGAAGGGGGGGGGGAAAGGAGAAAGATGGGAAGGGAAGGAGGAGGAGGAAGAGGTGAAATAGAAAAAAAAAAAAATATTCGTTTTCACAACAATAACTTCAATACGGCTGTAAAGAAACTGTTTTTATTTTACTACTACAT